ACAAGAGTTGTTTCAGAAAAAAAAAAAAATCATTGTTCCAAGTGGTTAGAGGAACTGATCCCTGTGGAGTGCTCAGGAAGAAGAAAACCCATCGTGGACATTCCTTGCTGATTTGGGGCAGAAATGACACATGAGTTACAGATCATGAAGGAAGTAGATATTAATCTCTGTTTATTGCCCCTGCCTTGCCATTGCGATGACTGTACCTGGGATGGTGTCTTGTCACTGAAATGACAGTGTTTCTCCCACATAAGGCTGAAAGGACTTGGGGAAAAAGAACAAAAAATAACAAAATAGCTGTTTTATCAGGAAAGACGTCAACTGTGTCTGTGCTTGGAGGAGTGGCTACTGACTGGGAGCGAGGAATTGCTTTGCTTTTCAGACTTTTCTCTGAATTTTAGTGAGAAGCCTGATTTTGCAAGAGTAGTTTCGAAAAGCTGTGCTGCGGGGCACCCCAAAGCTCCCAGAAGTGTGAAATGATGCCCTGTGTGGGGAAGTGAGATCAGAGCCATGAGAATATGATGCTGAATCCCTTTGCTAAGCTACCTCTGCAGGCCAGAAAGTCAGTAGTGAGTCAAGTTTTTGCTTTCCGGTGACCCCTGGGAGGTTCACTGGGCAAGCGAAACAACAAAGATTAATCGAAGGTGGTTGTTCTACTGGACTGACTCCCTAAAAGCTTGAGGTGGCCTTGTCTGTCCCATTGACATGGTATTTCACACTCTAAATACTAATCTGACAAATTTTTAGTCATTGTTAGATTGAGGAAAAAAAAACCTAACTGATGACGCTGCAGTGCTGAGGAGCTGCGGGCTCAGAGCTCGCTGGCGTCTTCCATCGCAGCGGTTACCGAGTGAGGTGACTTCCAGGACGTTCCTGCCTTTGCTGCGTACGTTTTGTGGGTCCCTCCACCCAAAAGAGGTGTGAGCAGGTGCTCTTTGGTTTTCTTTCTGTTGAAGCAGAATATGGAGGGAGACAGAAGCAACGAAGCCATTTGGATAAACTCTTTTGAGTAATCCTCTCACAAACGTCGCAGCATGACCCTTGGTCACTTTGAGCTACTCATGAGTTTGTAAAAAGGCTCGATGACTTGATTTCTGTTGCAGTTTCTTGGAAAAGTCCAGATATGTCAGCAAGGGGGCTGAAAACAGGCTAAAGAACCATGTGAAATCCACCGTAGGAAAAACTGAGATCAGGCTTCTGCCCACCAGAGGAGGAAACGCGTTGCTGTTGCCGAAGGCTGCTCTGGGGTGCCAGGCTGCCCTTGGGTGGGGTGAGCCCAGACTAAAGAGGCTTTGCTTAAACTCTCCAGCCAGGGCAGCTGCAGTGTGGGTCTTGGTGCTTGACTCAGACTAGTGATGAATTTCACCCAAAAAATATTCTCCAAGAGGATGTGCCTCAGTCCCAGGGGAGTGCTGGGAGGTTAATTGATACATTTAATTACTGAGATGATGCATGCTGGCAAAACAAAGCCCCATCAGTCCTTGGCTCGGAGGCTTATGTCAAGAAGCGTTACAAATCATGGAGATTACTTTGGGGAGCTACAAGTGACTCAGATAAACCAGCAGCTGAATTTAAATCCATCTGAGAGTGGCCCGTGAAGATCGGCCCCTCGCCTGTTCGGTGCAAATAAACGCATCCCGGGCCCTGCGGTCGGAGCGAAATCCTGAGCCCCTTCGACTCCAGCTGGAGCCACAGTTTTTTCTTTAACCGTGGCTGTGAGAAACTGATCTTCCTGGAAGGAGCTTTGGATTCCTTCTGGCCATCGGGGATTATTTCTTCCTGGAGAGCAGGAAGCTGGGTTGGATTTTCTGTGTAAATGGGGTGGTTTAGCTCTTGTAGGCTCCATCTTTAACAGCGTTCAGAATAAAGTCCGAGAGATTTGCCGGGGGCTGACAGGGGGAGGCGAGAGGCTCGTTCTGGTGTTGCAGAAGGCAAATGCTCAAATGTTAATTCTCTGTAAGGATTTGGCTGCTGGCTCCCGGGGAGAAAAACCTCCACGTCCTCTCAGCACCTCCCAGAGGCTTTGCGCTTGGTTTTCGAGGGCCTGGTCTGGCTGTGACTGTTCACAACCGCCTGTTCGGAGTCTCTTCGAGACGGATGCTGCCTCCTCTCCTCGGGGGTGGCCGGAGGACAAGGGGGACTGTTGGGGCCTCCCCAGCCACAAATGCCTCCCGCTCCAGCCCTTGTTACTCCTCAGGACACCCTCGAGATAGTACCCGGGTGTGAACAAGGTGTTTGGGCCTGGGCTGTGCACGTGGGATAACAACAACGTGCAAGGTGTGAGTAGACATGGAGGGAACGAGCCTGGAAAGAGTATTTGGGGGCACTGAGAGATGGGGACAGGAGGAGCCCAGTTTTCTTGCAAAGGAGAAAGCTGCTGCTCCGGGGGGTTGTGGTTCAGACCCACAGCTCAGCCCTGTGTGTCTCAGCTCTCGGAACATTGTGGCGTTGGGCCTCCCAACACGAAACTACAAAATTTCCCCAGTTTTTTTTCCTGCGGTTCTGTAGTTGGCATTCGATGCTCATAACGGCTCGGTGCCCTGAGCTGCCCCAGAGAGCGAAGGACATAGGTGGGAGTGGGAGAAGCTCCAGAGAAATACAAATTGTAAAAGCCGCCCGAGAAGCTGATTTCGAGGGTATTGAGTTGGCTTGTAAAAACAAGGTCCTGTTCCTTGTGGGCAGCCCTATGCCCGTGTGGAATTGCTTTCCTGAAGCTCAACGGGTGGGACGTTTTTATTCAGAGCCCCAGCACGGGTACCGAGTGCTGCTGTTTGTCGCAGGGCTCCAGCCAGCAGAGCCTGGCCCCAGAGCAGTGAGACTAAAACCAGCACTTCCACAGCAGAGGACTTGCAGGAGGATTTTTTTTAGCCCCTCTGTGTCTCCGGAGTGGGATGTTTGGGAAGTTGGACGTTAAACAAATGCATTTAGGGACTGGCTACTGGGTTTGGACTGGTCTCTCTGCACTGGTCCAAGCCAGCAAGGCTTTGCGGGCTGGTGGTGGTTACCCCTGGTTTATCTTGAGAGACGAGACGGGTGGTGCCGCTCCCCTGGGGTCAAACCCACCAACTGGTTTTGTTCCCGCTGCTCGCCGGGCCTGGCAGAGCCCTGCCTGAGGCCGGGGGGTGCCTGGGGGGTCCCGGCACCCGTGGGCCGTGCCCGGAGGAGAGGCCACGGGGAGTTGTGGCGCAGGACGGGCGGCTTGGTTTGTGTGACGGCAGCGGGGGGCAGGTTGCAGGGCCCTCTCCTGCCCCTTTCTCAGATGAAGACGTTAAGGGGGAGCGGTACAAAACCCCCCGGATTCCCCAGCTGCCCGCTCCGGGCGTCAGGATGCGATTTGTTGGTAGGTGTGTTTGTTTTTTTCCCTTCCACTGATTGGAAAGTTTAAACCCAAGAAGAAAGCTGAATTTTTTTTTTTCTCATCTGGTTCTTTGGAATCGCTTCCAGCTTTCCCCCCTTTCTCTGCCTTGCGGCGCCGTTCCGACAGGAGGGATGGTGTCGGGGAGGAAATGCAGGGGCAGGGTCTCAGTTCAGCCTCTGCTCCGTTCATCACGGGCTCGGTACGGAGCTTTCCTGCTTTTACACTCTTCTTTACATCCTGTGCTTTTCCTTCCCCCAGGACTTGCGGCGTGGGGAGGACCCGAGCAGGCGCAGCTGGCGCGGGGGGACCAGCAGCCCCCCAGCCTGCACCTTGCAGAGGTGCCTTTGCATTTTCTCTGCTTCAGAGAGAATCGGGTGAAAGGACCCAGGACCTGAGGCTGACGGCTTTACACCGGGGCACAGCGGGCAGGCAGGGCCTGGCTCTGCTCAGGGCTGTGCCTACGGGCCGAGTGCTGTGTCCACTGAAATCTTTGGGGTCTGATTTACAGCAAAGCGGCACCTCTAACGCCGACCTCCTCCGCTGATGGATGTCGTTGTGCCCCAGCACGTATGTCTGAGTGTTTTAGTGTTACAGTCGGAGTTAGGGTGTCGTCCTCCGCTCCTGACAAGGTTCAAGCTTCAGGACTCAACGCTGGGGCTGTTTTAGCAGGGTTAGTGCCCTAGGCCCAGCGGGGGGGTTGCTCCTGTCCCTGGCTGGAGCAGTTCTCCCCCCACCAGCACTGCCTTCACTGCTTCCAGCCCTGGCTGTGGTTTGGGGGGGAACTGTGCCCCCAGCAGCCAGAGGCAAAGGCTGTTCCTGGGAAGTTATTTACAGCCTGGGAAGAGGGTGTTCGCGGGGGGGGCATTTCCCTAGGGGAAAAAAAAAAAATCCTCAACGCGCCCCTGTTTGAGTCGTAACTCTGCGCTTCCCACCTGCCTCCTCGTTCTGCACAAGTCAAAAAACAAAAACAAAACAAAACAAAAAAAACCCACCAAAAAAAAAACCCACCAACCTTTTGCTGCCCTGAGAGTTGCGTTTCTTATCTGTGAAGCAGAAATAGGAGCGACAGGAGCGTTCGGGCGGGCGTGGGGCTGG